GGTGGATAAATCCACAAAGATGGGAAGAAACCAGCGGAAAAAGGAGGAAAACACCCGAAACCAAAACACCTCGCCTCCTACAAAGGACCAAAACTCTTCACCAGCAAGGGAACAAAGCTGGACGGAGAATGACTGTGACGAAATGACGGAATTAGCCTTCAGAAGGTGGATAATGAGAAACTTCTGTGAGCTAAAAGAACATGTTTTAAATCAATGCAAAGAAACTAAGAAACTTGAAAAAAGATTTGAAAAAAGATTCAAGGAAATGATAACAAGAATGGACAAATTAGAGAGAAATATGAATGAATTGAAGGAGCTGAAAAACACAATACAATAACTTCGTGAAGCATGCACAAGATTCAACAGCCGAATGGACCAAGCAGAAGAAAGAATATCAGAAGTCGAAGATCAACTCAATGAAATAAAACGAGAAACCAAGATTAGAGAAAAAAGTGCAAAAAGGAATGAACAAAGTCACCAAGAAATGTGGGACTATGTGAAGAGACCTAACTTACGTTTGATACGTGTACCAGAATGTGACGAAGAGAATGAATCCAAGCTGGAAAATACTCTTCAGGATATTATCCAGGAAAATTTCCCCCACCTAGCAAGGCAGGCCAACACTCAAATGCAGAAAGTAGAGAGAACACCACAAAGATATGCCACAAGAAGAGCAACCCCAAGGCACATAATCGTCAGATTCACCAGGGTTGAAATGAAGGAGAAAATACTAAGGGCAGCCAGATAGAAAGGTCAGGTCACGCACAAAGGGAAGCCCATCAGACTCACAGTAGATCTCTCGGCAGAAACTCTACAAGCCAGAAGAGAGTGGGGGCCAATATTCAACATCCTTAAAGAAAAGAACTTTCAACCCAGAATTTCATATCCAGCCAAACTGAGCTTCAGAAGTGAAGGAAAAATAAAATCCATTGTGAACAAGCAAGTACTCAGAGATTTTGTCACCATCAGGCCTGCTTTACAAGAGCTCCTGAAAGAAGCACTACACGTAGAAAAGAACAACCAGTACCAGCCATTCCAAAATCACACTAAATGCTAAAGAGCATCAACATAATGAAGAATCTACATCAACTAACATGCAAAACAGCCAGCTAGCATCAAAATGGCAGTATCAAATTCACACATAACAATATTAACCCTAAATGTAAATGGACTAAATGCACCAATCAAAAGACACAGACTGGCAAATTGGATAAAAATCCAAAACCCATCAGTGTGCTGTATCCAGGAAACCCATCTCACATGCAAGGATACACAAAGGCTCAAAATAAAGGGATGGAGGAAGATTTACCAAGCTAATGGAAAGCAAAAAAAAGCAGGAGTTGCAATTCTCATCTCTGATAAAATAGACTTTAAAGCAACAAAGATCAAAAGAGACAAAGAAAACCATTACATAATGGTAAAAGGATCGATACAACAAGAAGAGCTAACGATCCTAAACATATATGGACCCAACACAGGAGCACCCAGATACATAAGGCAAGTTCGTAATGACTTACAGAAGGACTTAGACTCCCACACAATAATAGTGGGAGACTTTAACACTCCACTGTCAATACTAGACCGATCAACCAGACAGAACATCAACAAGGATACCCAGGGCTTTAACTCAGACCTGGAGCAAGCAAACCTGGTGGACATTTACAGAACTCTCCACCCCAAATCCACAGAATACACATTCTTCTCAGCACCACATCACACCTACTCTAAAACTGACCACATAATTGGAAGTAAAGAACTGCTCAACAAATGCAAAACAACTGAAATCATAACAAACAGCCTCTCAGACCATAGTGCAATCAAGTTAGAACTCAGAATTCAGAAACCGACCCAGAACCACACAGCTTCATGGAAACTGAACAACTGGCTCTTGAATGTTGACTGGATAAACAATGAAATGAAGGCAGAAATCAAGTTCTTCGAAACCAATGAGAACGAAGACACAACGTGCCAGAACCTCTGGGATACATTTAAAGCAGTCTCTAGAGGAAAGTATATAGCAATAAGTGCCCATATGAGGAGAATGGAGAGATCCAAAATTGACACCCTATCGTCAAAATTGAAAGAGCTAGAGGAGCAAGATCAAAAAAACTCAAAACCCAGCAGAAGACAAGAAATTACTAAGATCAGAGCTGAGCTGAAGGAGATTGAGACACGAAAAACCCTTCAAAAAATCAATAAATCCAAGAGCTGGTTTTTTGAAAAGATCAACAAAATAGACAGACCACTAGCCAGATTGATTAAAAATAAAAGAGAGAACAACCAAATAGATGCAATAAAAAATGATAAAGGGGAAATCACCACAGATTCCACAGAAATTCAAACCATCATCAGAGAATATTACAAACAACTCTATGCACATAAACTAGTAAACCTGGAAGAAATGGATAAATTCCTGGACTCCTGTGTCCTCCCAAGCCTAAACCAGAAGGAAGCTGAAACTATGAATAGACCAATAACAAGGTCTGAAGTTGAGGCAGCAATTAAGAGCCTACCTCACAAAAAAAGCCCAGGTCCAGACGGGTTCACAGCCGAATTCTACCAGACACACAAGGAGGAGCTGGTACCATTCCTTCTAAAACTATTTCAAACAATCCAAAAAGACGGAATCCTTCCCAAATCATTTTATGAGACCAACATCATCCTGATACCAAAACCCGGCAGAGACCCAACGAGAAAAGAAAACTTCAGGCCAATATCCATGATGAACATAGATGCAAAAATCTTCAATAAAATATTGGCAAGCCGATTGCAACAGCAAATCAAAAAACTTATTCATCATGATCAAGTAGGATTCATCCCAGGGATGCAAGGCTGGTTCAACATACGCAAGTCTATCAACGTAATTCACCACATAAACAGAACCAAAAACAAAAACCACATGATTATCTCAATTGACGCAGAGAAGGCATTTGACAAAATTCAACAGCCCTTTATGCTAAAAACCCTCAATAAACTCGGTATCGATGGAACGTATCTCAAAGTAATAAAAGCTATTTATGACAAACCAACAGCCAACATCATACTGAATGGGCAAAAACTGGAAGCATTCCCTTTGAAATCTGGTACTAGAAAAGGATGCCCTCTCTCACCACTCCTATTCAATATAGTACTGGAAGTTCTAGCCAGAGCAATCAGGCAAGAAAAAGAAATAAAGGGTATTCAAATAGGAAAGGTGGAAGCCAAATTGTCTCTATTTGCAGACGACATGATAGTATACCTAGAAGACCCCATCGCCTCAGCCCAAAAACTCCTGAAACTGATAAACAACTTCAGCAAAGTCTCAGGATATAAAATCAATGTGCAAAAATCACAAGCATTCGTCTACACCAATAACAGACTTAAAGAAAGCCAAATCAAGAGCGAACTGCCATTCGCAATTGCTACAAAAAGAATAAAATACCTTGGAATACAACTCACAAGGAACGTAAGGGACCTCTTCAAGGAGAACTACAAACCACTGCTCAACGAAATCAGAGAGGACACAAACAGATGGAGAAACATTCCATGTTCATGGTTAGGAAGAATTAATATCGTGAAAATGGCTATACTGCCCAAAGTAATTTACAGAATCAACGCTATCCCCATCAAGCTACCATTGACTTTCTTCACAGAACTGGAAAAAACCACCATGAACTTCATATGGAACCAAAAGAGAGCCCGCATAGCCAAGTCAATTCTAAGCAAAAAGAACACAGCGGGGGGCATCACACTACCGGATTTCAAACTATACTACAAGGCTACTGTAATCAAAACAGCATGGTACTGGTACCAAAACAGAGATATAGACCAATGGAACAAAACAGAGGCACCGGAGGCAACACAACATACATACAACTATACAATCTTTGATAAACCTGACAAAAACAAGCAATGGGGCAAGGATTCCATGTTTAACAAATGGTGTTGGGAAAACTGGCTAGCCATGTGCAGAAAGCAGAAACTGGACCCCTTCCTGACACCTTACACTAAAATTAACTCCAGATGGATTAAAGACTTAAACATAAGACCTGGCACCATAAAAACCCTAGAAGGAAATCTAGGCAAAACTATCCAGGACATAGGAGTAGGCAAGGACTTCATGAACAAAACACCAAGAGCATTGGCAACAAAAGCCAAAATAGACAAATGGGACCTAATGCAAACTCCACAGCTTCTGCACGGCAAAAGAAACAGTCACTAGAGTGGATCGGCAACCAACAGAATGGGAAAAAATTTTCGCAGTCTACCCATCTGACAAAGGGCTGATATCCAGAATTTACAAACAACTCAAGCAGATTTACAGGAAAAAAACAAACAAGCCCATTCAAAAGTGGGCAAAGGATATGAACAGATACTTTATGAAAGAAGACATATATGAGGCCAACAATCATATGAAAAAATGCTCATCGTCACTGGTCATCAGAGAGATGCAAATCAAAACCACATTGAGATACCATCTCACGCCAGTTAGAATGGCGATCATTAAAAAATCTGGAGACAACAGATGCTGGAGAGGATGTGGAGAAAAAGGAACACTTTTACACTGTTGGTGGGAGTGTAAATTAGTTCAACCATTGTGAAAGACAGTGTGGCGATTCCTCAAGGCCTTAGAAATAGAAATTCCATTTGACCCAGCAATCCCATTACTGGGTATATATCCAAAAGACTATAAATCGTTCTACTATAAGGACACATGTACACGAATGTTCATTGCAGCACTGTTTACAATAGCAAAGACCTGGAATCAACCCAAATGCCCATTGATAATAGACTGGATTGGAAAAATGTGGCACATATACACCATGGAATATTATGCAGCAATCAGAAATGATGAGTTCGTGTCGTTTGTAGGGACATGGATGAATCTGGAAAACATCATCCTCAGCAAACTGACACAAGAACAGAAAACGAAACACCGCATATTCTCACTCATAGGTGGGTGATGAAAAATGAGAACACATGGACACAGAAAGGGGAGTACTAAACACTGGGGTCTATTGGGGGGAAAAAGGGAGGGTCAGTGGGGGGGGAGGTGGGGAGGGATAGCCTGGGGAGAAATGCCAAATGTGGGTGAAGGGGAGAAGAAAAGCAAAGCACACTGCCATGTGTGTACCTACGCAACTGTCTTGCATGCTCTGCTCATGTACCCCAAAACCTATAATCCAATAAAAAATTAAAAAAAAAAAAAAAAAAGACACAGACTGGCAAATTGGATAAAAAGCCAAAACCCATCAGTGTGCTGTATCCAGGAAACCCATCTCACATGCAAGGATACACAAAGGCTCAAAATAAAGTGATGGAGAAAGATTTACCAAGCAAATGGAGAGCAAAAAAAAGCTGGAGTTGCAATTCTCATCTCTGATAAAATAGACTTTTAAGCAACAAAGATCAAAAGAGACAAAGAAGGCCATTACATAATGGTAAAAGGATCGATACAACAAGAAGAGCTAACAATCCTAAACATATATGGACCCAATACAGGAGCACCCAGATACATAAGGCAAGTTCTTAATGACTTACAAAGGGACTTAGACTCCCACACAATAATAGTGGGAGACTTTAACACTCCACTGTCAATAATAGACGATCAACCAGACAGAAAGTCAACAAGGATATCCAGGGCTTGATCTCAGACCTGGAACAAGCAAACCTGATAGACATTTACAGAACTCTCCACCCCTAATCCACAGAATATACATTCGTCTCAGCCCCACATCACACCTACTCTAAAATGGACCACATAATTGGAAGTAAAGCACTCCTCAGCAAATGCAAAACAACTGAAATCATAACAAACAGCCTCTCAGACCATAGTGCAATCAAGTTAGAACTCAGAATTCAGAAACCAACCCAGAACCACACAGCTTCATGGAAACTGAACAACTGGCTCTTGAATGTTGACTGGATAAACAATGAAATGAAGGCAGAAATCAAGTTCTTCGAAACCAATGAGAATGAAGACACAACATGCCAGAATCTCTGGGACACATTTAAAGCAGTCTCTAGAGGAAAATATATAGCAATAAGTGCCCATATGAGGAGAATGGAGAGAGCCAAAATTGACACCCTACCGTCGAAATTGAAAGAGCTAGAGGAGCAAGATCAAAAAAACTGAAAACCTAGCAGAAGACAATAAATAAGTAAGATCAGAGCTGAACTGAAGGAGTTAGAGACACGAAAAGCCCTTCAAAAATCAATAAATCCAAGAGCTGGTTTTTTGAAAAGATCAACAAAATAGACAGACCACTAGCTAGACTGATAAAAAAGAAAACAGAGAACAACCAAATAGATGCAATAAAAAATAATAAAGGGGAAATCACCACAGATTCCACAGAAATTCAAACCATCATCAGAGAATATTACAAACAACTCTATGCACATAAACTAGTAAACCTGGAAGAAATGGATAAACTCCTGGACTCCTGTGTCCTCCCAAGCCTAGACCAGGAGGAAGCTGAAACTATGAATAGACCAATAACAAGGTCAGATGTCAAGACAGCAATTAAGAGCCTACCACACAAATAAAGCCCATGTCCAGATGGGTTCACAGCCGAATTCCACCAGACACACAAAGAGGAGCTGGTACCATTCCTTCTGAAACTATTCCAAATAATCCAAAAAGAGGGAATCCTTCCCAAATCATTTTATGAGACCAACATCATCCTGATACCAAAACCCGGCAGAGACCCAACAAGAAAAGAAAACTTCAGGCCAATATCCATGATGAACATAGATGCAAAAATCTTCCATAAAATATTGGCAAGCCAATTGCAACAGCAAATCAAAAAAACTTATTCATCATGATCAAGTAGGATTCATCCCAGGGATGCACGGCTGGTTCAACATACGCAAGTCTATCAACGTAATTCACCACATAAACAGAACCAAAAACAAAAACCACATGATTATCTCAATTGACGCAGAGAAGGCATTTGACAAAATTCAACAGCCCTTTATGCTAAAAACCCTCAATAAACTCGGTATCAATGGAACGTATCTCAAAGTAATAAAAGCTATTTATGACAAACCAACAGCCAATATCATACTGAATGGGCAAAAACTGGAAGCATTCCCTTTGAAATCCGGTACTAGACAAGGATGCCCTCTCTCACCACTCCTATTCAATATAGTACTGGAAGTTCTAGCCAGAGCAATCAGGCAAGAAAAAGAAATAAAGGGCATTCAAATAGGAAAGATGGAAGCCAAATTGTCTCTATTTGCAGACGACATGGTAGTATACCTAGAAGACCCCATCGCCTCAGCCCAAAGACTCCTGAAACTGATAAGCAACTTCAGCAAAGTCTCAGGATATAAAATCAACGTGCAAAAATCACAAGCATTCGTCTACACCAATAACAGACTTAAAGAAAGCCAAATCAAGAATAAACTGCCATTCACAATTGCTACAAAAAGAATAAAATACCTAGGAATACAACTCACAAGGAACGTAAGGGACCTCTTCAAGGAAAACTACAAACCACTGCTCAACGAAATCAGAGAGGACACAAACAGATGGAGAAACATTCCATGTTCATGGTTAGGAAGAATTAATATCGTGAAAATGGCTATACTGCCCAAAGTAATTTACAGAATCAGCGCTATCCCCATCAAGCTACCACTGACTTTCTTCACAGAACTGAAAAAACCACCATGAACTTCATATGGAACCAAAAGAGAGCCCGCATAGCCAAGTCAATTCTAAGCAAAAAGAACACAGCGGGGGGCATCACACTACTGGATTTCAAACTGTACTACAAGGTTACAGTAATCAAAACAGCATGGTACTGGTACCAAAACAGAGATATAGACCAATGGAACAAAACAGAGGCACCGGAGGCAACACAACATATCTACAACCATACAATCTTGGATAAACCTGACAAAAACAAGCAATGGGGAGAGGATTCCCTGTTTAATAAATGGTGTTGGGAAAACTGGCTAGCCATGTGCAGAAAGCAGAAACAGGACCCCTTCCTGACACCTTACACTAAAATTAACTTGAGATGAATTAAAGACTTAAACATAAGACCTGGCACCATAAAAACCCTAGAAGGAAATCTAGGCAAAACCATCCAGGACATAGGAGTAGGCAAGGACTTCATGAACAAAACACCAAAAGCTTTGGCAACAAAAGCCAAAATAGACAAATGGGACCTAATGAAACTCCACAGCTTCTGCACGGCAAAAGAAACAGTCACTAGAGTGAATCGGCAACCAACACAATGGGAAAAAATTTTTGCAGTTTACCCTTCTGACAAAGGGCTGATATCCAGAATTTACAAAGAACTCAAACGGATTTACAGAAAAAAAACAAACAAGCCCATTCAAAAATGGGCAAAGGATATGAACAGACACTTTACAAAAGAAGACATATATGAGGACAACAAACATATGAAAAAATGCTCATCATCACTGGTCATTAGAGAGATGCAAATCAAAACCACATTGAGATACCATCTCACGCCAGTTAGAACGGCGATCATTAAAAAATCTGGAGACAACAGATGCTGGAGAGGATGTGGAGAAAAAGGAACACTTTTACACTGTTGGTGGGAATGTAAATTAGTTCAACCATTGTGGAAGACAGTGTGGCGATTCCTCAAGGCCTTAGAAATAGAAATTCCATTTGACCCAGCAATCCCATTACTGGGTATATATCCAAAGGACTATAAATCATTCTACTATAAGGACACATGCACATGAATGTTCATTGCAGCACTGTTTACAATAGCAAAGACCTGGAACCAACCCAAATGCCCATTGATGATAGACTGGATTGGGAAAATGTGGCACATATACACCATGGAATATTATGCAGCAATCAGAAATGATGAGTTTGTGTCGTTTGTAGGGACATGGATGAATCTGGAGAACATCATTCTCAGCAAACTGACACAAGAAAAGAAAATGAAATACTGCATATTCTCACTCATAGGCGGGTGATGAAAAATGAGAACACATGGACACAGGGAGGGGAATACTAAACACTGGGGTCTATTGGTGGGAAAAGGGGAGGGCCAGCGGGGGGGGGGAGCTGGGGAGGGATAGCCTGGGGAGAAATGCCAAATGTGGGCAAAGGGGAGAAAGGAAGCAAAACACACTGCCATGTGTGTACCTATGCAACTGTCTTGCATGTTCTGCACATGTACCCCAAAACCTAAAATGCAATAATAAATTTAAAAAAAAAATGGACAGAGAAAAATTGAAAGCAGCATTATTCTCTGCAGCCCCCTGGTTTGATTTCGACCCTAGGAAGAAGCAGCATTTGCCCTACAGTTTGGCTCCCCTCCTAAAATAGCCTCTTGAAACATTTCATGATCCCATTATCACCCAAACAATTTCTATATAACAAGGTCTAGGAGTTGATAATAGGGCGTGTATGTGCTTACCATTTCATCCTTACCCTAAAAGGTTTACCGGGCTTCCCATCCAGATTTTGCAACCTCCAAGTATGGGTCCCAGGCTTTTCTACATTCCCTGTCATTATGCCTCTGTGGCTCTAAAATAATCTGGAGCCCCCCACCATACAAAGTTATTTTTTGACAGTAAGTATAAAGGACTACGCAGTACTTTTCCTCAGTCATATTATTATGATGTAAAACTTTTTGTAGTCAAATTAAATGAAAAGGGGATCAAGATTTTGACTCCAGTGGGCTTTCAGGATCCAGACCTGGGTAGAGGATTGGGAGTGCCCACCCAGGAATTGTGGGTGATCAGTCAAAGAAAGCCAAGATTTGAGTCCTGGATAAGGGGAAGCCTTGTAAGTAAGGGAAAGTTTAGAATCAAGTTGAGAAGAGCAGATAGTAGGTTAGCCAAGGAACTAGGTAAGATGAAATGAATTAATCCGGGAAAGCCCGCAAGAATTCCTGAAGACAAAGGTCATCTTTTGTCTGGTTGCTTTTGTAGAGTGGGAGTTGGGGTAGCTGGGGAAGCTATTAATATCCCCAAATGGGCTGGAAAATTTTAGCCCTTATCTATCAATATTGTGATTTTTACCAATCCTAGTCTAGCTATTGAGGTTACCAAAATGTATCATGGAAATGGGAACAATGAAATCTGGGTTGTTATGAGTCCTACCATACTTTTATTTTTGTTGTTGTTGTTTTCAGAGACAGGGTCTCCTTCTGTAGCCCAGGCTGGAATTAGATGATGCAATATGCATGCAATGCAAGGTGCTCACCGTAACCTCAAATTCCTGGCCTCAAGCAAATCCTCCCACCTTGGCCTTTCAAAGTATTGAGGTTACAGGTGTGAGTCACTGTGCTTGGACCCTACATACTTTAATTTTGATGTTTGGAACAAGGGAACAAACTGTTACTGAAGGAGTCTGGGACGTTCCATCAAATAAATAAAAACACTTGCCAGTAGCATTCCAGTTGTGAACAGGACCTGTTTCTCGTCTTGCATAAAAATAGACACGATTTCTGTTCAAAATGATAGTGAATTTAGAATTAGGCTTATTTTCAGAATAGTAAAAGTGATAGGAACTATTTTTTTTCATTAGATAGATTACATTTATGCAATTTAAAAATTTTTAATATTATTTATTTTTGAGACAGAGTCTCTCTCTGTCACCCAGGCTGGAGTGCAATGGCACGATTTCAGCTCACTGCAACCCCTTATTCTATTTTTGGGTCCTGTCTATCTTATGTACAGTTCCTTGTTATAAAAAGTGTATAATCTGAACCTCCTGGGTTCAAGCAAAACTTGTGCCTCAGCCACCTGAGTAGCTGGGATTATAGGCATTTACCACCATATCCAGCTAATTTTTGTATTTTTAATACAGACGGGGTTTCACCATGTTGGCCAGGCTGGTCTTGAACTCCTGGCCTCAAGTGATCCACCCACTTCAGCCTCCCAAAGTACTGGGATTATAGGCATGAGCCTCAGTACCCGGCCTTATGTAATATTTTATCATTGCTTTATTAAATTCTTATTTTATCCCACCACCAGGAGAATTAAAATGTTTAATTAAGAAAAGCAATTAAAATAAATGGAATATAATTGATAATATCAATAAGCTAGCAATAGAATTAACAAATGCTTGTTTACTTGTTTGTGTCCTCTTAGTAAGTTATAAGCTCCATGAAGGCAAGGATTTAATATTTCTCTTTTTGTTTTTTGTTTTTAGACAGAGTCTCACTCTGTCGCCCAGGCTAGAGTGAAGTGATGTGATCTTGGCTCACTGCAACCTCTGCCTCCTGGATTCAAGCGATTCTCCTGCCTCAGCCTCCTGAGTAGCTGGGACCAGAGGTACGCGCTACCATGCCTGGTTAAGTTTTCACCATGTTGGTCAGGCTAGTCTCGAACTCCTGACCTCAGGGGATCCGCCCACCTCAGTCTTTCAAAGTGCTGAGATTATAGGTATGAGCCACCACGCCCAGCCTAATCTTTCTTGCTTATTGTTATATCCCTATGACAATGACACTGCTTAGTGGTTAATACCTACTCAAAAAATATTTGCTAAAAGAATAAATAAGAATCAAGGAGGCATCGAGTACATGAACAGTGAAAACTTGTATTCTCTAACACGTAGAACTGTTTAAAGTGTTTGATTTGCATAATCATAATTGTGGAATAATATCAGATCAAATGTGCCAATACGTATTTTGATATTTCATTGGTCATTCTAGGATATTTTGAAAAAGGAAAAAGTCATGTTTCTAAAACCTAACCAGGATCTTTGGTTTATGAAGTGCAGTAAGTCCTTAAGAAGATAAATTCCTCTACAGAATGCAGTGCTCATTGTATTAACAAGGTCTATAAGATTTCTAGAAGAAATTCAGAAAGAAGAGCTGGTGGATATACAGCAGAGTTAAACTAGAATTGAGTACAGTTGTTGGACCATATTTGCAGAGAGCCTTCAGGGTTTTTCATTAAAAATGCAGATAAAAGAAGCTTCAGTGATGGATATTTGCTCAGGCCCCTACACTTATGGGCAGAATTTGCTACTTTACTCATAAGCATTATATAAAAAAGTAATGACAACAAGAAGCCAGGATCCTAAGAAGAAAATATAAAAACGAAGAAAAATTACAAAACAGCCTCTTTCTACACATGTAACGTGCCCTATTGGTTCTTCTTTCTGATTTGTATGTGTGTATGTGTATATGTACATGCTTGTTTTAGAGGGAAAAAATAAGGAATACCTTCCATTCTATCCTAACTTGTCTTTGTATGTTAATAAGGAAAATACCATATCTAAGCCAGAAAAACACAGAGTTCTTGACCAAGTTAAGGTCTTAAGTAAGCAAGCAAAACATTGGTTAACCCTTATCTTTTGTTTTGTTTTGTTTTTCTGCAAGCACGATGGTGACTTAACTTTTTATAAGCACATTTTACTTACCAATAGACCTATAAATGTGCATTTATCTTATTTTGGGGTCCTGTCTATCTTATTTACAGTTCCTTGTTATAAAAAGTGTATAATCTGAAGAAAGAAAATAATACCATACTGGGATGAAGGAGAAAAAAACAAATGTGTTGATATGTATGGACTATGCAAATATTTTCCAAATCTTCTGTGAAATCCCTTTGAAAAATTTACTTGAGAAGGTACTCCAAGTACCTTCAAAATTTACTTGAGAAGGAAAAAATGAACCTAAAAAGAGGAAAATAGGACATCCCCAAAATTCTCCTAATTCAGTAGAGCAGTAAAAAGAAACTAATTTTTACATGTTAGAACAGGAAGTCAGAAGACTTTAAGAAGAATGTTTATAAGAAGAAAACGAACACATTTTAGCAAATATAAAAATGAGTGATCACAGTGGTGGGAATAAAGATACATGCGTTTTTGTTAATGAGAAATAATGAAGATAATTTAAAATTCTAGAAAGTGCAAAAGCTGTATAGGAAAGTCACAATTAAGTAACATGAAGTAAACTGAAATATAGCATGACTTTGTGAAATAAAGAGTAAGAAAAGAGAATCTATTTGATCTTGACACTTGATAATTCTTTTTCAAGCAATATAGGTTACCGGCATAGAATTATATTTCCTAGTTCCACTTTGGTTCTTTAGTGAACAACATTTTTATAATCAAATATAAATGTGTGTTATTTTTAGTAGTTAGCAAATTTTAGACTCAAATTATAGAGTAAGCATTTCAAGATGTAATTATAGCCACAAAACAGAATGTAAATATTTGACAAGGCCAAATTAATGAGAAAGCTTGTAGAGTTTATGAGATAGAGGAAGGAAGTATAGGGATCCAAATTTCTTATCTTTTATGGGAGAAGGATTGAGATATAGAAACAAAGAATTAAATGGATTACTCAAAGTCAAAATGATAGTCAGCAGGAGAAATATTAGTAATCTTGATATCTAATAACTAAAAATAATGAGAAAAAATAGTAACAACCCCAAAATGATACAATAATAATATCTACTAACAGTAAAATAACAATAAATGTGTATAGTGCAAGATAAATTTTTCTGCTTTAATAATGGGGAGTCAATAGATAACATCTAACGTTAATAAATCATGAAAAGAAAACATAGAGGTAACTACAGAAGAACTAAAAATAGAACCATACTAAAAGGATTGCTTCTGTGAAGAAAGTTTTAGAGGTGGGGTGAGGGATTCATTTTACAATTTTCTGCACTTTTTGGATATTTTTTCCTTACCATGTAGATATATTATCTTTATTACATAAAAAGGTAAAACATTTCCTGATTACTAGCTTAGCATTCTCTTCAATGATATCCCAAAATGCATTCTTACTAAGGATAAAATGAACATACTCCTGCAGGTAAGAGTGATAGGCGCAGCAGAACCAAAATAATGCTGTAATTAATATTGCAATGAGTAGAAGCGTCATGATTCCAAACATGTCAACTGAAATGTATAAAAAGAAATATATTTTAAGTTAACAGAACATCAGTAATTTCTGCTATTTTCATCTTTTCTAATATCATGCAATGTGATTCTTTAACAAATGATTATTGGAAGTAATAATACAATAACATACATTACATTATCCAGTAAAACTACCATTAACACAACAATCACATTTGAAAATAATCTGGGTTGCTAGAGGAGGTAACATTTGATTTATTTATTTTTAAATTGGTAAACTACTAGGCTACTGGCTTATTTATTTTGTTGTTATTTTACCTCTAAACTCATTTCTGGTACTATCTAAATAGATAAAACAACAAATCCCTCAGTCTGTTATAGCTCTAAAGATACATATAGATAGCGGGGTATGGTTTATTGTTTGAATTTCAGCAGTCCATTACCAAAGAGACAACCAATGCTTGCTGCAAAAGCATATTTCTACCCCTTGTGAAGTTTTTTCCCCTGTCTCAGTAAGCACTGTGTAGTTTATTAGCTTGGTGTGTTGTAAAATGAAACTAGAAGGGCAAACATGAAATTGGAGACTAGAGTTTCTGTTCATACTAGTTACACAAAGTGTAACTTTATAAGGCAAAAACACATATGATTTAAATATAATTGATAGTACCTGAAAGAAAAGGAGATTTGAGGGCAAAATTTGTATCTTTTTACTTCAATTAAGGAAGACAATTGGTTGTTTAGATTGGGTTTTTCATATAGCTAGGATTTACCTAGAAAGTTTTTTTGTTTCAACTCTTTAAGAAAACTTTTTAAATGGTAGTGGTATGTTTTTCTGCCTTGGTCAGTACTGCATAACATACCAAAAGCCCAACATTTGAGTATAACTTAAAGATTCTTTGATGCTTAATATTTGTCCAGTCCTAGTGAATCATTATTCTGAATAGCAATTCTCAGTGTAGAAATATGTTAGCTGAGAAAATATAAATTATGGCAATGTATCTAGACAAAATATATCCTCAGACAAGGACTAGCTTATTTAAAAATTCTGGAATTCCTAAAATGGCATAAGAATACAAACATCCTTTAAGTGAGTTATGAATATCATACACCAGAGATTTTTAGAAATGGACATTTAAAGTATTTAGCAACTGGTATGGCAAAGGATCCACCAATCAGAATGAACGCTGACTTAATTTAAATGAATACTTGCTGCAAACAACCAATAAGCCTATATTAGGAGGAAAGACTAATGAGCATCCCTCGACTTGCTATGTTTTATTTTTATTTTACTTAAAGTTCTGGGGTACATATGCAGAACGTGCAGGTTTGTTACATAGGTATACATGTGCCATGGTGGTTTGGACTTGCTACATTTTAATACGAAAAGCAAATGTAATAATTTATAATCCTTTCAAATGTTGCAAATTGCTAGCATTTGCAAGTTGACTGAAATAAAGAACATAAAAATTTAAATAAGGAAAACTCACCTTTACAGTTTAACCAATATACGGAACTGAACCGACACCCAAAATATGGAAAACAATATTTTTTGCATGCCTTTTCTTCACTACACCAAATACACTATATTTGGAAAGAGAAAAATAAAAGTGTTGTCCAAGTATAATAACCACAATCCCAGGAAGGTTTCAGTACTAATTCAATAAGTATTCAATATGTAATAGCCATTATCATTATAATAATAATAATAATTATTATTATTATTTGTGCTAGATGCCATTGGTGACTTGAGATCTCCCTTGTCAAGCCCATGTATCCAAACCTCGGCTGCAAAGGGTTTTGATTGCCAGTGGTTCACAGCTTCCCCTCTTCTTGAATGAAGAAAGGGGAACACCTAGCCCATGAGGTTACTATTTCCTCAGGCCAGTGAATGACTGATATGGGGTTCCAAATAGGGGACATCCTTACCTCAAGGCAGGGTCAACTCTGCGAGGCAGGGACAACTCGGCTGTGTGATTTTGTTTTCGTTTTTATTTTTTGTTTTCGTCCAAGGGCTACCCATGACTAAGGCCAAGAGCAGACTTTGGCCAAGACCTCATCGTTTCTTGGCTCTTGCCCCTTATCTTCCCTGAGTCTCTCACTCCTTAGGATTTTTGCTGAAGAGTAGTCACTCAAAAATCACATGTACCTGAATCCCTTTCTCAGACTCTACATTTAGGAAACCAAACCAAAGATATTATTTCACAAAGTTGTAATAAGGACTGCAGTAAATGGTTTTAAAATCTCTCCATCACTCTTTCCATTCCTCTTGCCTGCATCCCCCAGTCTTTCCTCTGGGATTGCTCCTCTGTTACACGTAGCCCAGCAAGTGCTGTAACAAGCCTTACCTCACCCCTCTTCCCACACCGCTCACTGGTGCTCAGTTAATCATGTGGAAATAGAAAAATGGAATTCTGAGTCCTTTAAGCAAGGCCTAACGGTGAAAAACATTATGGGAGAAAAGACTAGAAGAACCTGGAAGAGTAAAAAAAAAAAATGGGGACAGAGTGGTAAAAATGGCTATCACTTACATAGGGCCTACTATGTGACAAGTACTATTCTAAGTCCTTTATATATATCCACTCATTTCATACTCATGACAATCCCATGAGCTAGGTACTATTATGTCTGCTTCATAGAAGAAAACAAGAAGGCACAGAGAAGTTAAAGACTTACATAAGATCAGATACCTACTAAATAGGGGAGCCTGGGTTCTATTCTAAGTAGCCTGGTTCTGTGCTGGTAACCAATTCTATAAGAATGAACCCAGACCCTATCCGATCACTTCTTGCTGTACATCCTGGGACCAGCTGAGGTAATGATTCACCCCAATGTAAAGAACCACCCCTTAGACATTGCCTGAGTACCAAGGCTATATCACAGGCCAGTTTTTGTTTCACATTGGCCAAAACTGAAGGTCAAATCAAGCCATTCAGGCAAATCTAAGATTGAAGCCACTTTAACTCAATGAGTCTTGTCTTCCCAGATGGTTGCTGAAGGACTGAAACTGCAAAGATAAAGTCTAGATTCAAAGATTACAGCCCACAGAGACTTCTGGCCTTCGATATTAGTACTCAGAGTCTCTGGGAATCAAGTCCAAGATCTAGCAGGGCTGTAAGGCAAATGAATTTCCAGAAAAAAATCTGAACCTGCAGCTAAGAGATCTGTGCACTTAAGTGCTAAGCTGATTCCCAGGCCCCAGTAACCAAGTCTACCACAGGTAAACTCCTAAAGAAGTGCAGGCCCCAGAAGAGATAATCTCCCCTATGCCTCTCTCTGGTGGGGACTCAGAAAATTATGGAAAAGAAACTCCTTCAGTAGCAGCTAGACTGGCAACCAACTCACTACTCAGCCAGGAAATTCAACAATGTATTACAGACTCAGAACATACTATAGGATTATTGGCCACTATCTTTCTTTCTAAATGGGAGCCTTTATTGCTGTTATCCTGCTTTATCTCTTCTATTGAACAGTGGGTCTTTGGGAGTTGGTTTAACTGATTATATAGCTGACGTAAAGGAGTGCCTGGAGCTGTATTCAAACACAATCAAGAGTAATGCACATCTCTCTGAGATTTCAGACTTAGAGCTGGGGGCAGTAACTGATAGTGACTTTGAATAAGTCCAGTTGCAGTTGAGATTTAGGTGCATTGTTTTGCCAGGAGCATTTTTAAAAATACGGGGATGGGAAAATAGAATATGCCTGTCCTCAAAGGTCAAGGGTGAAAAATGGTAAACTAAAGTCATTTATTTTTAAAATCTGTTTGCTACTTTGTGTCCCCATTCTCCTTTTTCTAGTAATCACACCTTCATCTACCGAGGACCTCTTCCCCAAACCTTGTGTGGTCCTGTGGCTGCCAATAAATTTTGCTTTACCCCATTCCTACTACTGGAATGGTCTTTTGACCAAGGCAGTAATCCAGTAACCAATGCTGCCCCAGACATAAAACCCCCATAGGGCCAATCAGAATCTTCCTTGGAATTGTATAGAGACATTGGGTTAGATCTTCTGGCAGTCAGCCTCTTGCCCAGCTGTATGGAGAATGTCTTTTACCATAAGAGAAAATAAAATCAATTCCCTGAGGGAGGCAGAGCTGAGAGATGAAAGGAAAGAGGAAAATGGGAGGGACATCTTTTGGTTCAGTTGTGCAAGAAGGCAAGGCCACACCTGGTCTTCCCAATATTGTGAGTCAATGAATTCCCCCTTTTATTAAATTAGTTTGAGTTTGGTTTCTGTCCCTTACCACAAAAATATGTGACTAATACCTTAACTAAACCTAAAAAGTTATCAAAGACCAGAACTTCACATTGCCCCCAAGAACAGTATACTATATTCAAAATTCCTAAATTGGTAATGTATAATTTAAGGTAAATTACACTTGATTTTTTTCTTGTAGTTAAGGAAAATAACCCATATAAATATGAAGCCATCAACCTCTTTGGAGTGTGACAACTAAGAAGCCACCTAAAGGCTTTAGTATGATGGTTAGTATTGTTTCATGGGAAAATTATAGTACTCATTTTAGGGTAGAACTGTTTTATTAAGTTTATATGAACATTACAATTGCTATTTTAATAAAAAGATCATTAAAATTAAAACATTCAGAAAGTGGGAAGGTACATAATGTTTAGTAGTTAAGGTTGTATAAATCAAATGGCTTAATATTATATCAGCGCCTGGGGGATGGGGTGTGTAGAAAATCTAGGATTGTTCCAGGCGGAAGAAAAGAATGGAGAGCAGATGTGGGAAAAAAGAAAGAAAAGGCCAATGATTTCTAAAATTATGAGAGAATGGTACCATAAATAAACAAGTAAAGAACATGAGCTTCTTTGGGGAAGGCAAAATTATAAATTCAGTTGAAGAAATTTTGAGCATGATGTGATTAAAAAAAAAAAAAAAACTATCCAGGAAGAAATGCCAATTAAGCAGCTGTGAGCATCACTGTTGGGAGTCATTAGGTTTAAGGATGTGAATTTGGAATTTCTTTATATGCAGGTTGTGGTAGAGACCAGGACTGTGGAAGAGGTGGCACGAGGAAGTGTGAAGAAATTCGCTCATTTAGGAAAATAAAGAAGAGGAATTGGTAAAGGAAACAAAATGATGAGGGAAGAAACAAGGCCTGTATAAAGCCAAGATAGCCAAGGAAGGAGCAAGTTTCCAAAAGGATTGAGTGATTAATTTGAAACGTTGTTGCATTTGGTTAGAGTCTTTTGTAACCTCTAAATCAGGTTGCTAAGGATTAAATCACACTGTGTGATACGGAAGAAATGGTAGAATAAGCACAGAATAAGTACTTCAGCTTCTAGAAAGAAACAAAGAGGAGATTTGGTTTGGTTTTGTGTTTTTTTTTTCCATTTTGTCTGAACTCAGAAGGAAGCCAATGCACAGAAACAGGCTGGATTTGTCAGAGAGGGAACAAGGAAATGAGAAAGGTTTTGAGTTTGTGAATGTGCATGCGTTTCCGAGTATGACACATACATAGAGGTGAGCACTAAGGGATTCACCTCAGAAATGAGAATAGACTTCTCAAGGGGAAGGTCAATGTTAGAGAAAAGATACTGTGGGGAGAAATGCCAAATGTGGTTGAAGGGGAGAAGGAAAGAAAAGCACACTGCCATGTGTGTTCCTACGCAACTGTCTTGCATGCTCTGCTCATGTACCCCAAAACCTAAAATCCAATAAACAATTTAAAAAAAAAGAAAAAGATACTGAATTGGTTCAGATGAAAAATGAGGAAACCTGAACCTGCCAGATGGTCTTAAAATTCTCAAGGAAAGTCAGACCCTGAAAGAAGGATCATGCCAACAGCAGTAAAGTGCTGGGAATAGTTGCCATGGGAAATAATCCACGACATTGGTTGTCCATATTTTTTTTTCCAGTGGAAGGACTCCCAACAGGTGATATCCACATGTTCACTGGAATATCCAAATTTGGATCCATCACCTTCCATTATTTCCAACTCCATACCCTAACACACACACACACACACACACACACAATTTTTCAGAAAAATAAATATCAAAGTGGGCATCTCTTTGTGGGTTGTAAGGAATGACATTTATAAATGCATTTTACAAGCATATGACCAATCATCATTTCCTATGAACTGTACAATAGATAAGGTAAGCTGTGGCAGATTCAACGAATCCCACTGGGCTTGCTATAACTTGACTCCTTTTTGTCTCAACCAACCATCCATGTCAGGCCACAATTAGTAAGAAAGATGTGATTATGGAGAAAACCTAGACTCTATTCCAATATTTTATTTGTTTAAGTCAGTTGCAAAAGTCAGTCTTATGATGCTCATTAGCAAAAAGCAAAAAATGTGCTTATGACAAGTCTCACCAATGTGACACCAAGATTAAGAACTTTGTTTCCAAGGATTCGACGGGGATGCATAATGACTTTGATTGGCAATAAAAGCACAGATAACAAGATGCTTCAACTTTTTTAGTTAGCCTGATTTTTAAAATTTTATTTCTAATAGAAAATATCAACTAAAATACAATACGTTTTTCATACGCTATGTTTATGAGTTGTGTGTGTATGGGGAGTTGTAAATGTGATTTTTATGACTGAGTTTTTGGTAAGAATGCTTTCTAACTCTAGGAAGGCTAGTCCTATACTATGAAATCACAAGGAAATGTTTCAAATAGAATCTAAGGAAGATTCCCTTTCAGTTAAGAAGAATAAGCATATCATTTATCATCCAAATTGGAATATTTTGGGAAATGAAAAGGAGCTGGTATATATTTTCTCCAGGTCAATGGAGAGGTGGGCATAAAGTAGCACAATATTAAAGACATCTGTTCATCCTCGTTTTAGTCTAAAAAGAGCTCAAATATTCTTGGTTGCTTCATGAGTTAACATTTTATAAACTCTGGCACTTTCTCTGGGAGTATAGGAGCTGGCAGAAACTACCACTAAGAGCTTTGCATCCTTCCAACTTCTGGGAGAGCAGGGGATCTTTTTCCAAAGGATAACACCCTAATTCTATGTTGACCATGTGGAATTATCTCTTAGTTCATTTCTGTGAGGTACTGGAAATATTTTTTAAATTACACTCAAATACACATACTCCCAGTGTTTTCATAATGACTGATATTTAAAAAAAATTTAAATTATCTACCTTGTTTCATTATAGAGTGTAGTGAATCAATTTACCTTCCTTTGAATGGGTCAAGAGTTAATTCAATAGTTATTGAATGCTTGCCATGTGTGGGAAATGTGTGAGGTGTTAGATATGCAAAGATGAATAAAACATGGACTCTGTCCACAAGGAGCTGAGAACAAGGAAAAGGTGAACATAAAAACAATTCAAATAATATGAGTTACAATTCAAAAATGTACATGTTCAAGTCTGAAAGAGAGGTATAGGGGAAGTGGAGGAGGTATTCTTCCTCTAAAAGGAAGAATAAGAATAATCAATATTGGGTAAAAAGGACAGCAATGTTTTCAGTTGGGGAATGATGTTTATGTGTAATGCCTCAATTTTTTCCATAGAATTGGAGATGAATACATCTGTTGATATTGACAGGATGAGGGAATTGCTTCTGTGGGAAATTTTAGGCAATGTTGCTAACCAAAAGCAAGGATGGGTAATATTTGGGCTCAGGTGAGATCAGAAATTGTGACTTTGTAGTTGTACTAATGCAGATGTTGATGAAATATGCTGAAGCAGCAATCAGCTAGTAATGTACAGCAAAGGAAAATATAAACCAAAGGACAAAGGACCAAACAGAGCTGTGGAATGTGGATCCACAGCAGTTAAAAAAATGAGGGCATACACATTGCATGCCTGTATCAAAACATCTCATGTGCCCCATAAATATGTACACCTACTCTGTATCCACAAAAAATAAAATTTTTAAAAAAGAGGACAAAGCCATTAAAGTAGACATAGTTTTTATGACTCCCAGGGAAGTAATAAATCTGGGCAAGGAACATTGTTGGTTGCTAACATCATCAAATGCTAGACAATAATCCTTATCTGCCTCCAAGGGCCCCTCAGCATGAAGCATTCCTACCAAAAAATTAAACAGAATCTTATAAAGCCTTTATATCTAATTATCAGTTTATTAGTACAAAAGAACAGGGGAAAAGAGGAACATGATAAAAAAGTGCATCACTGGGATGTGACCAGCAAAATCCAGACTGTGAGAAACCAGAGAGGACAATCTAGTTTCTCTAACAAACAAGTTTCAAAACAGAAAAAAAAAAAAAAAAAACAAGGAAGAAGGAACATATAGATTCAAAGATACTTAAGATATGTATCAGCCAACTGCAATGTATGTGATTCAAACAAACAAAAATGACTCAACAAGACAAATTTATTATTTTCTGGGTGTCTGATAATATTAAGAAGTTGTGAACTTTTAGGTATGATCATGAATGAATTTGCAATATTTTAAAGTAAAATGTTGATTAGAGACATATGCTTAAATATTTTAAATAAAACAATATGGTATCCATATCATCATTTGCTTCAAAATAATCTATTTCAGAGGGAAGAGCATACATTAGAAAAAGGTTGGCCAAGATGGCTCTTGGGGAGTATAAAGTTTTATTATATTGCTTTCTTCATTGGTATATTTGACAACTTCCATTATAAAACATTTAACAACAACGAAAACTGGAAGAATATTGCATTCAGGTGAACAGCCATGAGGGAAGAAAGTCTATAGGAGAGGGCCAATAAACTGAAGGGAAAAGAAGAGTGTTAAAGGACTGGAGGATGGTCTTGTCTTCTTGAGGCCAAAGAGTAGGTACTGTCTAAGGGAGTGAGAATACAAATGCCAATGTAGATTGTGCAGGGTTCAGGGATGCCAGAAAAGTGATGTCTTACTACACAGGGTTGAGGAAGGCAGGACACTGAGACAGAGTATGCCTGGGTCATCGCTGGCTGTGGAAAGCATGTAAGGCAATGGTAGTACAAACTGGGTGGAGAATTCCGTGAGCCATAAGCCCAGGTCCTCATTAAAGTAGACTAGTGATAGATATTTATCTTCTTAGAGGAAGATAAGACAGGGCAGAGGGTGTATATCCAGATCACTATGAGTGATACCAACTCTAGAGTGTGCCCTTTTCTAAGTAGTGATTTCAAGCTACTGTTTTTAGTGTTGTCAGTTATCTGATACAAGTTAGACTACAGTGATTTTTATGAGGGTTGCTGCAAGCTTGTCTGTGACACAAGGTGGTGATTTCTCTCATAACTTAAAGCATTTCTGCTTTCTTCCAAATCTGAAATGAAGAGCAATGATTTCAGACATTTAATCATCAAAGAGGGCTTTAGCTATACTGTGGTTAAGGAATGGTATGTCATTCTTTCTAGTCTTTAGGAAATAGAAGTGGGAAGGAAATTGTCACCACATCTCAAAAGATACATCTTTTCCTTTACTTACAAAAAATTATCCCAAAATTTCAGTATAATTTTTTCAAGCAAAGAATTATTTTCTTTTTGAAGTATAATTTTCCAGAAGGAAGTACATGTTTGTACTCAATTATCTCCATTGTTTATTTCCAGATCCTCAAAGAATGGTTTGAAATGCATAAATAGATCTTAATAACTGTTATGAGACATTCTTGTTAGAAAAATTGTGTAAAACAAAGTTTAGCATATCTTTTAAATAACAGCTGTAAATGGTGACTTTATAACATTCCCAGAACAATTTCCTCATAAGAAAGTTAACTTACTTTCTTATCTTTTGTGCACAACTGACAACTCTTCTTTATAGTACATCCTACAAGAAAAAAATATTAAATACAAAAATAAATTCAAATCCTTTTTATTGCTCAATTTTATGTAAAAGTGCATTTCATTTAGTCATTTCTGTTTTAAGCCATATTCATCCATACCCCAGCATTTTACTTCATTATTTTCATGTATCTAGACATTTCTTCCACTGGTACTACATACATCTTCTTAATCTTTCCTCCTATTTCTTGGAAAAATATGAAATGGCATCGTACAACTTTGATGAGCCAAGTTCTAAAAAAACAACCCCCAAAACACAGTAAGGAAAAACAAATTGGCAACACCATTGTATTTTAAAATATCATGTGTCATTATTCAGGATGGTATTGCCAAGATATTCCTACTTAACTAATTAACCCTTTAAATATTTTTTAAAAAGTAATTCCCCATCTGTTTTTGCCACAAAGCTTTAAAAAATTCTCCAAAATGAGGATTTTTATTCCTCTTGTTTTATGGAAAAACAAACAGTATGATTTACATTTGAAAGTTCTAGAATAAAAACTCGGAATTTGGAAAAAAACATTTCAATGGCTTATTTTATTACTGTAACATCTTCTTAAATAAAGGTTCTAGAATTAATGTCCTAGTTGTTTTGTGATACAGCAACAATAAAGTCACTCTCTCTATTATTTTGGGGACAGAGTTCATAGGCTCTGTGGGAAAGGTCAGACCTTTCTATTTAATTTCAAATTGTTTGATTGGATTCAGGTCTGATTGGGCTGGGGAAAAAATTTTACAGTTCAGCTTTCAAATTCAGTCCTATTGACTGTTCCTTCCTCCTAGCTGAAAGTATCCTTGAAATACCCATGAGAAAGTTGAGTGAAAGAAAAGGCAAGGTGAATGGGAAAGACTCTGCTGCCTCAGCTATGTGAAGAACAGCTGGCCTCAGGCTCCTTTTGGGAGGCAGAGCAGGGAAACACAGGACACATGACTTGGCCACTGTTCTCCGACCTCTACGTGCTTCCCACAGCTTTTTTGTAAACTGAAGTTTTTATTTTGGAATAATTTCAGATGTACAGAAAAATTGTGAAGAGTCTACAATGAGTTCCTGTATATTCCTCACCCAGTTTCCCTATTGCTAATACCTTACACTACCATGGTACATTTATTGAAAATAAGAAACTAACACTGGCACATGACTTTTAACTAAACTCCAGATTTTATCAGGATTTTGCCAGTCTTTACACTAATGTCCTTTTCTGTTCCAAGATCCCACCTAGAATACCACATTGCCTTCAACAATGTCTCACTCTTGCCTTGTTTTTCATGACCTTGACAGTTTTGAGGACTACTATCATCAGTACTTTCATATATTTTGTAGAATGCCCCTCAACAAGGATGTGTCTGATGCTTTTCTCATGATTAGAGGGGGATGAGTTTGGCGAAGAGCACTGTAGAGAGGAAGTTCCCTCTTCAACACATTATGTCAGTAAATGGCCTGCTCTGGTTCCATAGTAGAGGTTTAGATCGAGCATTTGTATAACTAACCAGCCATCTCTTTAATACTCATTTTTGCCCTTATTGGAAAACTAATGAGTTTACAGCTGACCTATGTGCTACGTGAATCAGTAGGTTCTTTTTTTCTGTTCTATTCCTGAAGAAAGAGGTTCTAGCTATTTCCATGGCATTATCAGGTACGAGATTATTTCACCCTAAAGCCCTGAGGTTTGATTGTGTGTTTTCTGTCTGGTTACTTATTTGCTCTTGATTACATTTTTCATGACTTCTGCATCATTTCTCCTAGTTCTCTTAGAACATCTCTGGCTATTCTTTTTCAGTTTCTTCAACTAGTTCCACTTCTACCAATGTCTGAAATGTTGCTATTCCATAAAGTTCCACCCATGATCCTCTTCTCCCATGAAGGATCACAATTTCAAAAGCCTAGAGATGCCTGGCATCAAAATATATTATGCCAAATATCAAAACAAAACTTTTTATTGGTACTATAATGAATTTATAATACAAAAATAAAGCTTATCTGCAAGGAAAAATTTTTCAAGAACGGCTAAGAGAAAAAAACAATGGGGAGTATATGAAAATAACAAGATTTTATATATTAAAATTCTTCTTATATTTTATTTACCTATTACATCTATTTTAATACTGTTAGGTGAATAAAAGTTTGGAATATGCCATCTTGGTGCACTGTACTATATGTCAATATGGAATATCACTTTTTCTTTGACTTAATGATTTTTTTGACTTGAATTCTATTTTGCATAATATTGCTACACTTGCTTTCATTTTCAATAGCATTTGCAAGGCATATCCTATTCCATCAATTTATTCTTTATTCCTTTATTTCCTCTAGTGGCTTCAAAATACATATTCTATTTCTATTCTTGAGCTGTTGCTTTAAATATTTGGGGTGATATTTTATATGCATCTTTCTATCATCATAATCAGGATCTACAGTCTCAATTCAGACAAAGATCCTAATGTTTTTACTCTTCTCTTTCTCCCCATACCCCTTCCCAGTTAAATAATTTTAACTATTTAATAGCAGTTAAACTTCCATATAATTTCTATATCATATGGATTTCAGAAATCAGATGGAATTTTAACTGCTATTAAAGTTATTAATGATTATTAAACATATTTAAATTGCTGTTGACTTACAATAAATTACTTAGAATTAATTTTTCATTTTACTAGTTTATTTGCTTACTATTCTTTCTTGAATCCCACTTTTTCCCCTTATTCATTTTTCATTTTGCTGGATTATATTCTTGAGTATTTTTTTAGATGTCTTTGAGTGATAAACTCTTTGACTCTTTAAGTGTCTAAACATTTTCATTTTGTATACCATCTAGAGAACAGCTGGCTTAGTCTGTTAATGTGTTCTAGTTTCAACACCATTTTCTTCAAAACTTTAAAGATATATATATATATAAAATATATGATATATATAATATATATTATATATACATTTAATATATATTATATATATATATATATATATATATATATATATATATATATGGAGTGTCTCTCTGTCACCAGACTGGAGTGCAGTGGTGCAATCTCAACCTCTGCTTCCTGAGTTCAAGCAATTCTCCTGCCTCAGCCTCCCAAGTAGCTGAGACTATAGGCACACATCAACAGGCCCAGCTAATTTTTATATTTTCATAGAGACGGGGTTTCACATCATATTAGCCAGGATGGTCTCGATCTCCTGACCTTGTGATCCACCTGCCTCAGCCTTCCAAAGTGCCAGGATTACAGGCATCAGCCACCACGCCCAGCCCAAAGATATTTTTCTGTAGATTTTTCTTTCATTAGTTCCTCTCTTCCATTTCTCTCCTCCTAAAACTCCCATTACATTAGCATTGGCATGAACTCTTGTCTCTTTTTTCTACAGACTCTCTATTTCTTGTTCTTTTGACCTACATTCTGAATGGCTCAATTATTGAGCTTGCTAATTCACTCTTTAGCTATTTTTATGCTGATTATATTTTTAATTTCCAAGATTCATAATCTTTTCCAGAATAGTCTGTTCTCATTTCATGGATATCTCCATGAGAATATTAATGATAGTGTTGAGAAAGGCATCCATCCTAGACCCTGAGCATCTCTGAATTTCCTTGCTGAGTGTGCCAAACTTCTTGGGATAATCATCCTCTGACCCTGCACCTATTCTGTATCTAGTAACCTAGTCAGTTAAATAGGTCAAGGCAACCACAGTATAACTATAGTCACATTTACTCCCTAGGGACTAGATATTTCACTGCTTGCTTTAAAAAGTCATAAGCTCTTAGCCCTGGGTTCCTTAGCTGCAGTGCAACTGGCTGTATTCATAGCCACAATCTGATTGTTCCATGGGACTTGAGGGCAGGAGAACTGGTGCTACCATGCTTATGTTCCTGCTGTTGGCTGTGCTATGATCAATAAACCATCTTGCACGGATCCATTGAGTCTCACTGTCTACTTTTAGCACCTATGGAGTTGTGGCAAGCCAATCTACTTACTAGCTTAATCATTTCCTTTGGAATCTTGTTGGTCCTTGCCATTTTCTATAGGAGGAATTTCTAATTTCAAGGTGCTTTCCCCCCTCTATTAAATGGGTCTTAATAAATTGGTTATTTCCTTTGTTGGATTTCATGATTCTTGATTGTGTTAGCATGATCAAGTTAGGATTTAGGTGTATGTATATAGGCTATTTCCATCTCTGTAGTGTGGGAGAGGATTGGGACATGCTGCCAGGTTCAGTGTGTTGGTAGTATATCTTTCCCTGTCTTTCCAGGCCAATAATTCACATTCATTGTTAACATGGGCAGTTGCCTCTGCGACTCTGCTGCCTACTTCTTGAGACAATTGAGAAGGTGGAGAGGCAACCAGCTATAGCACTCTAAGATCAGCACCCAGGTAGCTGCTCCACAACTCCCTCATGCTCTTTATATTCACTGCTGCTGGGGTTGGAGCAACTCCATAATACACTCTTCCATTAGTCTTCTCTTATGTGTGTTTTAGGCTGTGGATTTTCTCCATTAGTCTGATCTAAACTGCTTTCTGTTTTTCAGGGATTCTTAACATTTTCTGGCCCTCATCTTGTTTTCCAGCACTGTCATAATATATATCTCTATCTCTACATCTGTATCTAGTCAAGTGCTGCATAACAATATCTTGGTTAACAGACTGCATATAGGATGGTGATCCCTTCAGATTATAATACTGTGTGTGTGTGTATACAATTATACTTTAAGTTCTGGGGTACATGTGCAGAACGTGCAGGTTTGCCACGTAAGTATACACATGCCGTGGTGGTTTGCTGCACCCATCACCCCATCATCTATATTAAGTATTTCTCCTAATGCTATCCCCCCCAGCTCCCCATCCCCCAACAGACCCCCATGTGTGATGTTTCCCTCCCTGTGTCAATGTGTTCTCATTGTTCAACTCCCATGTATGAGTGAGAACATGCAGTGTTTGGTTTTCTGTTCCTATGTTAGTTTGCTGAAAATGATGATTTCCAGCATGGATGAAGCT